GTGGGAAAGATATAAAAACAAGTTTAAGAAGCTGTGTTCCAAGATTAAATGTGCTCATTTAACTGTGGCGAAGAGGTAAAAGCATCTAGTTCCTTGACTGCTATTTCCTACTACACAGTAGGTCTTCTGTACAGGAGAGATAATTTTAGTATGTAAGTGAATACTCAACTGGAATTTGACATTTTTATATCCAATTCTCAGTTTTATTAAGTTTCACAAGTGATGCTTTTCATCATGAAATCTCTAACAGATCTATTCCACCTATGGTCATTTTGGGAACTTGGTGTAAATAAATAACAGTTAAATATATATATATATATATATATATATATATATGTGTGTGTGTGTGTGTGTGTGTGTGTGTGTGTGTGTGTTTTAACAAGTAAAATGCAGAACAAAACAAAATAAAAAATTTATAGTAAATACTATATAAATATTAGGGCATTTCCTGATATTTCAGACATCTAAGTATATCCTGAGTTTTAAAAGTTCCAAGGCCTAGGCACCTCCTTCATTAAAAATATTTTAGAAACCCATTATAGGAGAAAATAAGTTCTTCTTCTACAGAGAGAAACTGAATGAAGCCCAGAAAAGATGGTCACAGTTACCAAAGAATTCTACCCATAGGACCAGACTCTTGGGGAATTCACAGTTGTTAGTTTTGAGGCCATTCAGACAAAAGAGTGCATTACAGGGAACTCATGACAAAATCTCACTCAAATTTACACTGAACTTTCAGTACTTGAGAAAGTTCAGAGTTTCATAGAAATATAGAACTATATGAGTATAATTTCAGAGTACCAGAGGAAAATTATTCATTTTACAAAAACAAGTTTAAAAGCTGCTCTCTGGGACATTAAAAACAAACAAAAACAACCCCCGCCCCACCCCCGACCCCCATCCCCTGCCATCTCTCCCAAAGATGGAGAGCCGCTAGCTCTGCCTCCCGGTTTAGGGTGGCCAACGAACCCACTCTCCGGAACTGACGGGTTCTCAGGATGGGGGCTTTCACTGCTAAAACCAGGAAAGTCCCAGGCAAACCATGACAAGTTTCTCACCTCGTCCTGACTCCTCTGCCTGAGCCTTCCCTTCATGCTCACCTAAGTCTTCCTCGTCACTTCCTCATCACAAGCCCAAGTCAATTTCATCCCCTCCATGGCTCCTCCCAAGTTCCCGACCAGAATGCATCTCTCCACACTACCAAAGCCCTGGGCTGGTGCTTCCTTCTCTCTTATGAGACACTTTTCTAACTATGGGCCCTGGAAGGGCAGCACATGGGTCCCGCGCCTTCGTACTTTTCACGAAGTCAGGGCTTGATCAAAATTGTCCAATTGACTGGGGAGGCGTTCAGAAGAACCAGGCCCTCAACATCTTCCTCCACACCGCACCCAGACTTCTTGCATTTACGGGCAGAAACACACCTTGCAACCCTGGCCTCATCCCCTCCGCAAGAGTCTTTGAATCTCCGGGAGATGCAGGAAATTCCAATTGAGCCTAGTAACCACAAACAAAGCTGAAAGTAATTCTTCAGTGGATTCCTGCCAAATAATTCTGGCAAAGAATATTCCTGATGGAACTCAGTGAATTAGCAGCAAACACATTACATAACCTAGATAGAGGATCAGACTGAAGTCACTGCCTCCCTGTTTCACACACACACACACACACACACACACACACACACACACACACACAAAACTAGCGCCCAGAGCAAAAAGAAATCACAGGCAGGATGGAAGAGAAATTTCTCCTTTGAAATAATAGCCCTGGGGCAGTTTCTAAACCTATCTAGATGTGGAACGGGAAATAACTTCTGCAATAAAGTCAGGCCAGAAGGATGTGGCAACAGCTTCAGAGCAATTCATAAGTTCAATATCAAGAGTTCCTGATGAATAGCATTTTCTCTGGCCACAGATGACCATTAGGGCACACCACTTTGCATAAACTGTCATCTGTACATCTAAACTCAGCAATTGTAGCCAAATCATCCTGATGTTTTCTCATAGAAGTCTCAACAATGACGGTGGAAATATATACTTCCAAACATCACATTGCCTATGAAGATTTGAAGAAACACAATTTTATGTTCTCTTTTCACTTGACTATTTAATCTTTGGACTAATTGCTATATCTGTGAACTTGGAATACTATTGGGGGTAGGGTGGAGAATGAGCCGTCGGGGTCTCCCATAATTTTCTGCTAACATTTTCAACTGTCTAGCTGTCTAGCTAGAGATGTGACTCGATAACAGTAATTAGGTAAATACCAAAGACCCTTACTATAGAGACCCGATGGGGCTCAGGAAGTTCAAACTTCTTATGTAGGAATCACTCTTTCAGATGACCAGGAAAGGGCCAACATATGCTTTCCTTTAGCAGGACACCTTTTCTGAGATGCCACTTCACTCAGGCAGCACCAGATGTGTTTCTGTCATGTTACTGAAATGGAGGTCCTTCAGGACAAGGACACACCAGGGAATGGAATGTGAAAGGTCCTTTACCGTGAAATAGATAAACGTAAGATGTTTTCCTCTTCTGCTTCCTTCCTCCTCAGTCTCATCTCCCTGCTTCCTTTTCAACTCTTCCCTACTTCCGTCATCCTGGACCTTACCTCTGACAAAAGATAAGTTTCTCAATTGCTTCTTGCAATTCAACCTCCCTCTTCTCTTGCTTTGATTTTTCTTTTTCTTGGATTATGGACAAAACAGAGGCCAAAGTGGAGAGAAAAACTAAAGAATGCAATAAGGTACAAAAGGGTAGGTGTGTGGGTGACTGTCTCATCAAGGTCCATCCTGGTTGTGGGGTCACCTGTCCGCCTGGAGCTGCAGCACTCTTAAGGTGTGGATATAAATACTTGTGTCCTAGTTTGAGACAGCGAAGTGTATTGATTCCTTAAGAAACATCGTAGGGTGTCACATCTCCTCTGTTTCCTTGTAACAATAATTGCACTAAGTTCCATCAACTATATATTATTCAAAATATAAATCAAATTCATCTTTGAAAGTATACCTAGTTCCCAAATGAATCATATTTACTTTTATTCCCAGTTACTTAAAATTTCCTACATGTGGGTATTATTTTTCAAGAACAGTAATGAATATTAATCTATATGTTAATGTCTCTCTCTATATATAATATATAAACCTTTCTTCAAGTCCTACTAAAATTATTTAATGTGACTGAACAGTCTGCATTCATGGATTCAATGTTGTTTTTAAGTGAACTTGAAGTTTTATGATCCTGCTCTTACGTAGCCAACCAATCTAAGACAGGTTACAGCATTATTTTATTTCAGCATCACACATGATGGGTCAAACTCTCGAATTTCCTTTCCATCTAGAATTTTTAAAGATGTTGGGGAACTGCAGAAGGAAGGGAATGGGATGTCAAACAAGTTTCTTCTTACATTTGGGACATATGGCAATCACCTTATAAAGTTTTTTTAAATACTGAGAAACCCATGCATGTGAGAAATAAAATGAATTTTAAAATACAGTTTGGAGACATGACCTTTCCTCAATGAATGCTCCATGCAGTAACAGCTACCCCCAAAAAAATCAAGACTGTTAGCCCCAACAGGCATTATAAATGTAACATTTTAAATGTTTAACTTTGACAGCAAATATTAGTCCACGTATGATACTGTCTTACTCTGTCCTTCTTATGGTGGACACAACATTTTCCAACTTACAGTGGGGCTCCAGGGTTGTTCTCAGTACTGAGGATGGCTCCCAACACCACTGTGTTTGGGGATGGGTGGGAAGTGGGGTGTTTAGAAGTACAGAAGGCTTTAGAATAGAATGACCAGTAGGTGGGCCCATAAAGAACGTTAGAGATCATGTCCTGCCTCTCATTTAATAGGTGAAGAATATAAGGTCACTTACCTGGGTCACACAGGAAGTTGGTGACAGATGGTAGACCATCCACCCCCTCCCAGGCCTCCGGAGTCCTACACTTAGGGCATGGGCTCTGCCCAGAGGACCCTGGCATCACCCACCATCAGGGCTGCCTTGGCAAAACTCTGAGCCCCTCTGAGCCCATTTCCTATCACATAAAAATAGCACCAACCTCATAAGGCTATTTTAAGAGCTAAATGTCATAATGTACATAAGTACTTAGCCCTGTGTCTGGCACATTGTAGGTGATCAGTAAATATTGATTGTTGTTTTTATGATAACATTTACTTAGTACATGCTACAGTATGAATAAAATACTGGGGAAAAATTAAAGTCAAACAATATTGTACACAATGATCAAACAGTGTGTTCTTTAGCCAATAAAATACTTAAAAAGAGTATTGAAACACCTATTTTGATAAAGGACACCAGAAACACCAACCAGTTCTCTAAAACCAAGGCCTAATCTTTACTGTACACTAAAAGTGCTGACATCAAAGGGAGGCAATTTCACTTTTGATACATTTTAAAAAGGAATTTAGTTTCTAGCTTTTCCCATTATTTGGTAAGTGTTATGACTGACTTGATGTGATAAAACAGCTTTATTGAGATATAAGTCACAGACTATAAAATTCCCCATTTGAAGTGTAGAGTTTGGGGGTTTCTAGTAAATTCACAGAGTTGCGTAACCATCACCACAATCTAATTTTAGAGCATTTTCATCACCCAAAAAGAAACTCCGTACCCACTAGCAGTGATTCACTGAATTTGTAATCCATACACTTTTCTACCAGTTTTTGAAGACTCAGATTCTAAGAGGTCTCACTCTTACTCAGACCACGTGGGAGCACAGCAGTTTCCTTTTGCCGTCCCAGTCTTGCTGCCAGCTGCAAACCTGCGGTTTTCAGTTAGCCCTGCCCCTGCTTTCTGTACTTTTTCTCCCATCAAAAGAATTTAAAGGACTGACTCTTCAGTCTAGAATTTGCAGTGCTATTCTCTTGCTTACCTTCATCCCCACGTCCAAGTTAATTCAGCCTTGCCAAGGTGTAAAAAAAAAGGATAACCATCCCATCCAGGTTAAACACCACACCAACACACTCATAACTCAGGCAGAAAACACATTTATTGGTCAAAACTTCACAAACCGAGAGCTTTTCAAAAGCACACAGTGACACATAACAAGATAGAAAATACAAAAATGCACCGTCTCCTATAAAGGTTTTAACAATAAACTGTCGATTCATAGTTTTGAACGATATCAAGGAAGAAGACTCCTTGATCAATTTCTCCTATTTTCATTTAGAGGATTAAATTATTTCTTAGCAACATCATGACTAAAGGTCACTGTGATGCTGGAGCAATTTCAGTAGCAGCTTATGTTTTATATATACCAAGGAAGTGAGACATTCATTTGAACTCGCTGCATGTCTTGGAGGCAGTTGTCAGACAAGCTTACATCTCCAACTAGATGTCATTACGATAACGGAAGAAAGGCCAGCAGAGACCACAGAGCTAGAGCTAGAGGGGCCTTGGAGATCATTCACTCCTCACTCGATTTACATGGGGAGGAACTGAGCCCAGCTCCCCCAGATGGTGGAGGACCAGAGGCTAAAGGATTATTTGAAACAGAAGCCTGGAGAGTAGAAAAGAGTGGGACAGGTAGGTTCTCTGGTTGTCTTGACATGACTGCACCCCTGCACTGGGGCATTTAGAATCCAACCAGAAAGACCCAGGCTCCAAGTTGGTCTGGAAGTGGAGCTGGGGAGAATTACACAGCCCTTCAGAATACCAGGAAGGTCAGATTTATGTATATTCTCAAGAGAGCCTACGATAATTCTTAACCAGAATCTAAGAGCTATTTAAAAAAAAAAAGCAGCAGCTGTGACAACCCAGCTGGATGAGACTGGAGCCAGAATGGACTTGGGACTTAGGGCTGTCAGTGAGTTGACAGCTCTATGGCCACCTCTGTCTGAATAACAGGATTGCTTTGTGCTGCACTAGTGGTCACAACACGACTGGGAGGGAAGACCCTTTCAGGGCCTGTCACTCATCCTGGGCCTAGGCACCTTGCCCTGTCCTGCTGCTCCAATACAAAAGGCTCTAGTGGCTAAGCTTGTGGTTGACTACTTGGACTTTGTCCAGGACACATCCCCAAAATAGCTCTTGCAAAAGGGAAAAATCAACAATGTGGTGTACTCGTCTCAAGAAAGAAAAATGTCCTCAACCCCAGCACGACAGAGCTGGCTTGAGAGTTATCAAATCCCTTGCTTTAAGTGTATTTTTAATCGGACTCGACTTTCCTGACACTTCTGTTTTGTAGGAGGCCTCCTGGGTTTTATTAATCAACAATCATGGAAAAGCTTCCCCTCCTGTTCAATCTAGAACAGAGTTAACGTGATCACGGGGTAGGTCCGATCCGCATGAAACCTCCCTGGGGCTCAATGCCTCATCTGTAGGAGGAATAACTGACACTATAAGGTCCCCTCTGGCTCTGAAACGTGGCTTCTGTGACACAATCCTTCGAGTTGCCAGGTTCGTGCCACAAGCATTCATTGAGAGGCTGCTACAGGGCTGCTGGTGGGACCACGTTCAAAACACACACGAGACAGAGTCTGCCAGTGAGGAACTCATTGTCCCATGGGTTAACTATGGGTTGGGATAAACTTTCTCCTTCTCATTTAAGATATTAAGGCACTAAGCTGAAGGTGTTTGGGAAGGACTGATTTCAGAAATCCAAACAGAAGGTATTCAAGAAACCCGTTGGCTTTTAATAGAAAGAACGACTTCCTAGAGAAACGGGTGCAACTAGTTGGTTATTTTAAAGTTGTTTTGTTTTTCTTCTTTAAAAAAGATATATAAAGTTTACTTGAAGCCACTCTCCCAGCACCAGAAATAGACATTTTGTCATGTAGTATAAAAAATACAGGTATGGGAACTAGCAATCTTGGGCTATTGGAAAAAAACATCCCATCAACAAATCCCATCCACATTGTCTCCCATCAGAGGGAAAGAGGACACAGTGAATGCACCCCACATATGTTTTCATATTTATCACAGACTTTGGTAATTGGCATCAGGGAGGTAGTTTGGAAGAGACGTAAAATTACAGAAGCGGGGGCATCTCATGTAGATTCCACCTCCTGTGCTTCCCATGACAGAAATGTACCTTCTACCAGCCATGGGAATTTATTTTTAACCCTCTGCATACGAAGAAGGCTCGCCCATCATCCCTGAAGTATATACACTTTGATTGTTTTCACAATCATGGGGAAGGGTTGGTGCAAATCATGCTGCGTCCTTTGCCCAGTTTCCCTGGGGACAGAGCAAAACTGGCTGGCCTTCATCAAAGATGCACCCTTCAACGTGAGCATAACAGACTTAGCCAGATATAGACCACTTCAATGGTTCTAGCTGCCAGACAAAGGAAATGACTCAGCCTGCACCCGGGTGTGTGAGGGAAACAGAAGAAAGAAATGTCCAAATCAAACGGCATAAATGCACATTTTCTCAAGGTAATGAGCCCAGCGTCTCTTCCAGTGTTCTGGGGTTATGGTCATTGTTTTGCTTTGCTGCTTAAATTTTATGTGCAATTGTGTAATCAACAAAGTACCTTTAAAATAGAGATCTCCGTCAAACCAACCTAGTAAACATAATATATGGCCCACATTTGTGTTGTAGCAAAAATTAACATCAAAAAATGTATTTGCAATCTGTAGGACTATGTGGAACTGACAACCTCTGGGAGCCCTAAGAAAGGAAGAGATAAACTCCCTAATATGCACCAAAAAAATAAGATTTCAGGTATGCCAAAATTAAAGTTGCTGGTATCTAGATTTTCTAAATGGCAAAATTCTAAGTAAACTCATCTGAGCAGAACTTCCCTCATTTTTCAGTGCCTCTGTGTTACTCCACCTGGGCTCTAACTGCTCGCTAGACAAGCCAGCTGACGTTCAGGGTCAGCTTGGCCCCATCACTCCCAAGTGAAGAGATTAAAATTCATACCTTTGTGACATTGCAAAAGATTATGTGTCATGAACTGTTAATAAACTTCTCCAAAGCAAGGAAATTCATGGGTTTTATAATCACTTAAAGGCCTTTAGTTGTGGTGATTTGGGCCTCATAGTTTATTCTGAAAGACTGAACCCTGATCAGAGGGTGTCATTTTGTGCAAATGGTGCTCCTTTTCCTCTTTTTTTTTTGGTACTGAGAAATACCAAAACAGATTTATAGTTGATTTTTCTGCATCTAATAAAATAGATCATGTACTATTCCCTGCTTTGACAAAAAAAATTGATCTAATTTCTAGGCCATGAATAATGGACTCCTGGATTGCTCAACCAGCATGAAGACAGAGAGGTGTTGGCCCAAAAACCTTATGGAGAACAATCGAGAAGTTTCATGTTTTTTGTGTGTGAAATGCTTTCCTACTCAAGGCATTATCCAGCAAGATTTCATTTGGCTGTTGTTGAACCCAATCCAGCCTCTAGCCCAGGGCTCGATGTTTTAAACATTAGAGGCCTGAAGATATTGACCAATTAGTTAGAACAACTCCATGAAGTTGCCCCCAAATATCTAGAGTGAAAAAAAGTATAGAAGCAACACCTAGCAATGGAGAACATTTGGAAAGTAGACATTCTTCTTACTTACTGGATAATTACTTAACCCTTAGAGGCTTACTATCAGGAGCCTCCTTTTGACTCGCTCCTTACAAGCCAGCCTTCTGTACTGTCAAAATTCCTGGCACGGGGCAAGCAAGACATAGCAAATTATCTCCATCGGAAAGTGGGTCTTGCCTTATAATAGGTTTCATGTTATGGCATAGCTTTAAAAATTCTTCACCTTATGGCAAAGTTTGTGTGTTTATCTATAAACACATTCATTAAACACATACTTACTTAGTGCCTACTAAGTGTCATGAGCTGACCCAGGCAGAGGGACACATCAGTGCACAGGATGGACAAGGTTCCTGCTCTCACGGACCTGGTTCAGAGGAGACACATGCAACCTGAGGCAACTGAGAACTGGACACACCTCACCAGAGAGGGCACTTTCTTTCAGAGCTTGTCTTATTCAAAGAGGCCATTTGGGAAGAAAATATTAAAACCATTTCTATTACCAAGAAAACCTTTTGCAATTTCAGTGTCCTAAAACATGTGCAAAAGCATGTCTTCCAAAAGACCTCCTTGTCTGTAGCAAATGAACATATTTCTAAGCACATGACGAAGATGGATATTTCTAAGCATGAACAGAAATGAGGAGACATGCTCTTATCCACATGGGTTTCCATATGACCGATTCATCCTATTTTTGAAAACCATGTAAAAATTCTGCACTGTTGTATAAAAATTCGTTGGTTGACACGACCTAAAGGATCAAATGAGCTCAGTCTTAAACATATCATTATTCACTAACAAATGGTCTGTTCAAGCAAAACAAATTAAATTATCACCTTTAGCTCTATATGGCAAATTATTTTACACACCGTCTCCTAAATGTCCCAGTTGTGCTGAACAATCGCTTACATACTTAGTGAAAGCAACACCTTAAATTCTTGTGATATTTAGTAAAAGAGTCTAATTATTGTTTTTTGAAGCTGTCATTCTTTAGGGCACATGAATAATTCTAACCTGTTTCTTAACCTGTAAAATGATTTCACCTTCCTAAATGAGGAAGATGATTAAAAGACTTAGTCATCTCTAACCGTATCCTATCGTCACACGTTGTATTTTTATTTACCACAAATACATATCCACGTGTCACTGTACACAATACTTTTCAGTTGTAAGTTTGATTCCACAGTCAAAGAAAAGAAATAAACTTGTTTAAAATATTTATTCTCTCAATGGGATGTTCGGTCATCCTCCTTGTCAGAGTGTGGCTATTTAAAGACAAGAGTTTCATTCTCTGGAACACCATACTTCCCTTTGTGCTCCTCAAATAATTTCTTGAGCTCCTCCATATAAGTCTGATGCAGCTCCTCAATCTGCTCTGAGGTTGGGTTCAGAGTCCGCTGAACAGGGATTGGGTGGCCAACTGTAAAAACAGAGAATACATCACACGTAAGAAACCCAAACCACTCCACCACCGACTCCTGCCTGTAACGGACGGCCCTGGGAAGATCTGCCAATCAGAATCCATCCAGCCTGCCAGGCCCAACCCCTCTTTCATTGTACTGGCTGCCTACACTGGTCACCCCATTCCATTTGATAACAAATAAAGAACTTTCTTTCTCAGCAGACACTGGATTGTCAGTACCCTGGTGGTTTTGACTTTGTGTCAAATGCACTACTGTGCTGACTGCAGCTGGGAGGCAAAAGGACACAGCTGTGTGTGCGCGTCACCAGCGTTCTTCCTCAGGTCAAGCTGACAGCCAGACCACAGTACCCCATTATGACGGGCTGTGAAGTCTCAAACCATGAGGGACCAGCCCTCTACTCTCTTTTTAATGTCATCCTAAAAAGTTAAAAGAATATATATCTTCATAGCTAAATATCTGTAATCAAAAACATACAAAACCACAAGGACTCCACTGTCTGTAATAGTGGAAAATGAAACCAACCGAAAGTATCAACAGAAATATTATTAAGTAAAACCACAGAACATCCATTCAACGGAACCCTAGGCAGCAATTTTTTTAACGAAATAATATTTGTGTAACTATGTATGGTGATGAATGTTAACTAGATTTGTTGTTATCTTTTGGCAATAGATACAAATATCAAATCGTTATGTTGTACACCTGAAACTAATATAATGTTATATGTTAATTGTACTTCAATTTTAAAAAATGAAATTACATGTGTGCGCACCCATATACAGAGATATCTAACAGGTATTAGGTGGGAAAAATGTAAAATAATATAGCATGATCCCATGTGTGAAAAAACATTTATATTTCTAGGTGGATTATAAGCTTTTAGCATATTGAAAAAGTCTGGAAAGAAAGACTGATAACGGTTACCTTGAGGGAGGAGGAGAGATGGGGGTTGTATGTAGGTTTACCGGTACTGTATGAATTTTCTACAATGAATATACATGTGTGTTTTACCAACATAATTCAAAATGAACCAATTCATTTTTTAAAACATGGCAACTTCTATATGTATTTTAAAAGGCATTTACCTAATAAGCAACGTTTATCTACTTGTCTCACATTTTGAGAGGATAGGTACACAGTCATGGCTTTGGTGCCAGCTCTCCCTAGTCCTCTCTGCTACTCAACGCGCCCTCTGCTGGTCTAATGCTGCTACTGATGCCAAGAGTTTAAAAGGTACAGGATGTTCAATGACCAGCTGGGCAGCAAACTGCTTCTTACTACCTTGGATTCGATTGGGCATGAGAAGGAGTGGGGCTGGAGGCCACAGAACAGAACTCGTAAGGGAGGCAATTTCCTTTGGCCTACCCTGAGTCATCCGTGCTCCATCCAAGGCTCAAATCCATGTCAGTAACAGCAGGTGGTTGGTTAAGGAAAACCCAAGGAGATATAAACGTGTGTACGTGTGTGTGTGTGTGTGTGTGTACTAACTGCAACATTAATATTCTTAAATTGTTGAGTTTTTAACCACATATAGACTCGAAAAGCTCATATATAGTTCTTTGATAGCTTAGATGTCAAATTGATATATGGTACACATCAGTCCTTTGTAATTCCACATAAATAACTAGAAACATAACCATCTCGCTGTCAGTTGTCGTTGGAAATGTGGACTAGGGCAGGTTAACGTGGGGATGGGGTAGAGTTGGGAGCTGGTGTCGCATAAACAGCACCAGGCGAGACCAGGTCCAGGGCGAGCTCACCAGCAAGCACATTGAGCTGGTACGTTACTGCCTCCCTGGCCTTAAGTGTTACATGTATAGGATAAGAGAGTAGTAGAATTGGAACGATCTTGCAGCTTTCTTCCAGCTCTGAACTTTGTTGTTGTGTGAGGGATTTGAGAAATTTACATGCAAACTGAAAAACCTGCAAGTCAATCTATTAACAAACTTGTGGTTTTATAGAAAAAGCTTGTTTTCTTCAAAATTACCCCAAAGAGAGAGGTCAAGTACAACTATTGGGGTGGGAGTTGAGACTTAACAAAGAGGCACAGTGATTACTCTAAGAAGAGGGAAGGTGTTGTTCCCAGCTGACTTTCATTAAGACTTGTGAATTCTGCATTATTAGCTGAGTCAAACTTCCTGCAGTTAACATCAGTTCTCTTCTTTTCTTATTAATGGTTTTATTATATTTCAGAGAGTTCTTCCAGCGAGCTCAGACATGCCCATATATATTGAATTTATCACCGTAAGCTTTTTCCCTATAGTGTGAAACATGGTCAAACTTGCCTTTCTCTTCTTTACACGTAGAGAAATTGAGACACTGAAAAACCCTAAACTACACACACAGAACAACCAGAGGAAATTATCATTTAAACCCAGTCCTCCTGCCCCTCATTTAAAAACTCACTGAACTTGGATTAGAGAGTAAGAAACCTTTCTCAATTGCTTTTTAGAGCTAAAGACAGAGGTAACAAACAAAAATTTGCAAATCTGAGAAGGATCCCCTGAGCCTTACAAGATCAGAATTCTCTCTTTCCACAAAAAGGAGGTTTTTACTACTAGGGAGAAGAAAAAAATAAACACCTTTTCAACACAAGACTAAGTTAGCCGCAAACTGCTGCATAATTCTCGTTTTACCACAGAAAGGAGAAAACAGCTGCATCAGGCTGCTCTTGGAAAGACAACTCCCTGCCCTGGAAAAATCAGCAAACATCTACTTGTGACATCGGGAATCACTGCCTCTGTTTATGTTTCAGTGGTTTTTACAGCTGGCACACTCGCTTATTCCATTTTCCAATTCCATTCAACAATTCGCGGTTACTTATGCATTTATTGCCCTTACACAGCACTCCTGCTCTAATTTCTATGGGGCCGTGTTGTATTTTTCAAAGATAAGAATGAGCAGCTTCACAAGCCATTGTATACACGGTTGGAGAAATACCGGAAATGGGCATTATTTTCTTCTCATTGAGACAAAGAGTAGATATTTCACAACAAGAAATCTTTGTTCTATAATTATGAAAATTCCACAGTTTATCTCTCTAATCTCACACAAGAATTACTCTTTCTCTAGATGCTACATAGCTGTACACTAGAGAAAGACTAGGCAGAGAGCTGCATGGTAGAGGTTGTGTTGTGAAGAGTCCAAACGTGGGGGCCAGACAAAGCCTGGGTTCAAAACTGGGTTCCACTTCTGGCTTATCGTGGAGGCTCAAAAGATGCCCAGTGTAAGAATGAGTATGTGTGTGTGTGTGTGTATGTACACACACACAATCATATTGGCACCATACTAATCCCCTTAACATTATTATCTCCTTTAATCCCAGCTTTCAATTAAAATTTAAATTAAAGGTTCCTCTTTCTTTCCATTTCAGAGGATGCCTTAGCCTGCTTTTTTCCCCATCAGGATAGCCTAATGACTTGAAACATAATAGACTATTTTTGTCCTCATGTGGTTTCAAACCAGTTGTACCTAAAGTACAATCCCTTCCCTATCTTTTAAAAAATTTTTTAAAACATCAAACCTGTAGAAAAAATAATGCAATAGGTACTTGCATACCCTTCCTGCAGACTCACCCATTTTGAAACTTTTGCACATGTTTATGTATTATTGTTGTTTCCGTAGAACCATTGGAAAGTTGTAGACACCAACGATTCGATCATGTTAATCACCCCTAAATATTTCAGCATGCATACCTAAGAATAAAAACACTGCCCTATCTAACAACACCATTTTCACACCCAAAGGCTTTAATCTGTACACAATATTATTTTGTGCTTAATCCACATTTGAACATGATCAATTGTCTCCATAAGATCCTTTATAGTTTTTTCCCGCCCAGTCCACGACAGCTGCTGTGTCTCTTTAAATACTCACTTCCTCCTTTTGGTCTTTCACATTATTGATATTTTTGAAGAGTCCAGACCAGTTGTTTTGTACAATGTCCCCCAATCTGGATTTGTCTGATTATTTCCTCATGATTGAATTCAGATTAACATTTTGGCAGGAATACTTACACAGGGAAACTGAAACACATTTAAAAGCTCTCAACAACCCAGTCCGGGGGCGTCTGCTCTGTATGCCAACTCGCACTCCCCTGGCACCTGGGTGGGCAGAGTGCTTTCCCAGTATGATGTCATCTAACCCCCAGAGACCCTGAGAGATGACACGATGATGCTAATCATCTCCTCTTCAGAGGTGTAAAATCTGAGGCCCAGAGAAGATGAATGAAACATTCTAAGTCACTCTGAGTCAGACCTCAAACCCACACCACTTCCTCCCGTACATTTGGCTGAAGCATAAAAAACACCTTCTGAGTGTCAATATTAACTCTGTGTGTGGCTGGTGCCTGAGCGTCAGCTGCAGCCACCACGGTGCACCAGTAAATGGAAAGAACCAATCTCTCAACAGCAGTGTTCGTATTTTTTCAATGTCGTCATAAGAATAAAAATGCAATAAACACTTCTATGACATCCATAATCAGAAGATAGTCTAGGGACTTAACAGGAAGACTGTGGCAATCTCAAAGCTAAAAAAGGTGGGTTTGGAGCCCTTTCTATGCCACATGCAAAACATACCTGGTAAGCCTGTCTGGGTATCCATAATTCAAATAGTCTAAAACTGGGACTTTATGGTAAATGACAACTAATTAATGCTAGAGTTGGAAAATCACCAGTTTGCAGCCATGACTGTAATAATTGATTCCAGTAAGAATTATCAACGGCTATTAAGCTTGATGAAGAACAGAATAATTACAGTCTCTACATAACATCACCCAAAGGTTAGTTCTTAATGAAGAGGAGAGAAATCCTTAGAAATATAAAAATATATATAAAGATTTATATAGCTAAGACTATAAATTTATCTTTCAAGTAGAGAAGCCTGGAAAACACCTTCCCCAAGTGATCAAAGCTAACATCACCAACAATGAGACGAAGTGACATCAAGTGCCTCTTGACATGATGTACTGAGAAGGACATACTACCATTTCTGTGGCATTCTTGCCCAATATGCATAACCGGAATATAATCATGCTGAAACATATCAACGCACGGTGGGGAACATTCTATAGAACAATTGACCTGTGCATTTCAAAACTGCTCATGATTCTCATAAAGACAAAGAAAAGTTGAAAAACTATTCCAGCTTAACATAGGCAAAAGAGATGTGAAAATTAAACGCAACGTATAATCCTGCTTATGGAAACAATACCATTCCTCCCCCGCCAAAAAAAAAAGAAAAGAAAAGAAACACAGCTAACAAGGAAATTATTGTGGCAACTGGTGACTATAAACTAGTTAATCGCACTTTATCCATTTTAAATTTCCTGACTTGTACTGACATTATGAAAGAGATTCATCTTGTTCTTACAAAATATACATAAAAGTAATGGGGAGCAAATGGTCATGATGTCTGCACTATTCAAACAGCCCAGCGATAACAGCAGAAAGTATATTTATTATACCATTAGAGAGAGAAGAGCTAGCAAAATGTTAGCTGGTGAGTCTAGGACAAAGGCACACAGGAGTTCATTTTACTACTCATTAAATCTTCCTGAACATTTGAAACTTTTCAACACAAAATTTTACACATTAAAAACAACATACACAGGAAATTTCCTCTTTTAAATAGCACGTTTCCCATGTAGAGTAAAACCTTGGATTGCAAATAACGTGGTTTGCAAGTGTTCCGCAAGATGAGCAAACATTTCTAATACATTTTAACATGGTAAGCGAGCAATGTCTTGCAATACGAGTAGTTTGTTTCCGGAATGAATTATGCTCACAAACCAAGGTATTACTGTATCTTACTTTCTTGTCAAAATATGCCCTGTCCCATCATTCCACCTGTCCTGGCTCGACACTACTTCAATGTACTATTGGTTCCCCTTAAAATTTTTAGTGTGTATTTGTTAGCTATCTGAAGACTTAAGAATTACATCAGAGAGGACTAACTAAAGGCTATTTTTTCCCCCCAATGTGTCTTGAGCTCCCACTCCGTGGGCACTGGGAACACAGCAGAAAACAAACATGGCCCAATTCCTGTGCCCTTGGGGCTCCTGTGATGCAGAAACAAGCAAAGCAACACTCAAAGGACTAGGAGTCGTTAGACATTGTTCTGAAAGTCTAAGTATATTGCCACTGTGTCTCCAGGTTGTCACGATGGATATGACATTTAAATCAATTTCTCTCTGTTATTACACAATGACATATCATATATGTGAACATGACATTGTATTTTGATAAACTGACAATAACAGTCATAAAATATGTAAATTACATACTATTTGTGAAATGTGTAAAGACAATATATGGTAGCTTCTTTACAAATTATTCTCCCTTGAGAACAACAACCCTCAGCAAAGAGAAAAGGGGGTTTTGATAGAGGATGCAGAGAAGCCTGCTGGTTTAGCAAGGTTTGGTGTAAGAAAATATGCAGAGAGGGTGACTCTGACCCAATGGTGGCACTTTGAATTTAGTGAGAGCACATTTTTAAAGGAGTTTAATTAACAGAACATCAACAAAACCCTTACACTGTTAATGATTCTCACTAGTGTTAGAGAATCGCTAACACTGAAATGAGGTCGCTGAGCATGTGGGGTGTGAAAGATGTGAAGGGAAATTATTTATAGAATGGAGAATCAGGGCATCTCTGGACACCCGTGCATGAGAGGAGTATAGATGAAATGATGAATTAGGATAAATTCCACTAATATTTACTGAGTTTGTATCATGTGAGGTAGAGCTTATTTAAGTCAATAAATTCTGAATTAAGTAGAAAGAGCAGCAGAGGGGCCACAAAATCAAGTGCTTCTCTGGGTGCTGCCTGAATCCTGCCTGGCGCGTCAGGGAGTCAGCAAAGAAACAACTCTGGGTTTGAGGTGCATTGATTTAAATTAGAAATGAACGTAGTAACTTAGATCACTGTTTCAATATCATACCATGTTATATTCTCTTTTTCATTCGATTGATACATAGCTTGCTTTTGTTCATGGAATTTTAAATATCTTATCCTCAACTGGTATTATTTCAAGTCAATAAACAAGTCTTTAAATACAAGTCTTTAAATAAGTCTTTAAAGTCTGAGAGTCTGGTTTGCACAAATGAGGCTGCTCTCCATCATTAGACTCCGACTCAACCACTACAAGATCACGGCAGCTGAGTCCTTGAAACATTTATATTCTTAGCTTGGGTTTCAAAAGACTTCAAATGAGATGCTAGAGACTAGAAATGCTGTTCCTCGTGTGATCATTTGTAGGGTAAGTGGAAAGGTGGAGTGAAACAATTTTTCCTTTTTCTGAATTTTTAAGAGAGGCACGTTCTACAGGCATGAGTACAAGCCAGACCTGTAGATTTCTAGTCTTTACAATGAATTCATATTTGGTCATTTCCACCTGACCCTTGACCAATTAATTACTTGTCAGTAGAAGTGTAACCAGGCTATCTCAAATGACAAACCACTTTACTTTTAAAAATATGTTTAACCCAACCAGGTGATAATTGTAACCATTTAACCCAAGAAAATATACTTGCTTCCAACATTTACAACTTATTTCATGGTGCATATGAGCTATGCTTAATTAAACATTTAGTTCCTAAAATCATGTCTCACAATTTTCCTTATATCCCCCAAAATACCAACTATAATACTTTGCACATAAGAAATCAAAAATGCCTAATTAATAATATGCCCCCAAAAGTAACCAGCTTATCTTAAAAAACACAATTGCAAACTTAAAGTTATCTCAGTATTTCTATTTTACCAACTAATCAATAATCTAACATTCCATTTGAGTTAAACATAGTATTTAGAAATAATGTCATGTGACTACATGTGAAATGCAAAGCTCTTATATAAACTAACAGCAGTAAAATCCCAGCCTAATGAAACAGACCTAAAAAAAAAAAAAACCAAAAAACTAAATTTTATTTAATGGGTTATCCATGGTGAAATTATTACTTCCAATTTCATAGGAAGTATATAATTTTGGTTAATTCTGCTATCAGCACCTGACTCATCATTGTCTCATTCCAACTGTCCAGTTCCTGAGGAGCTACTTTCCTTGTCAGCCCTTCTATCAACGTGGTCTATCTCTCCTCCCCCATCCCTTCTCCCCCAAACATCCAACTTTTAAAAATAAAATCAATCTATATAGGATATGTTAAATATAGCTAGTTGCAAAAAAAAATGTTTTTGCTATAGAAACTGATGCCTATGAGAATTGAACATGATGAAGACATCTATTACACAGAAATTTGCATATACTGATAGACTCCAATTAAACTTGTACATCAAAGAATTGCTGTGTGATAATCTGCTGGCACAGAAAAATAGATTCATCCTAGAGGGATAGAAACTTCATTTCTAAAATCGGATTCTACCTGTATGTAGTTCAATAGCAGTATTCTTGAAAGTAACCAATGGAAAATATAGTCATTTCATAAACAAAAGGTCAACTGGAAATGAAGCTCAAATAACATCTATAGGATTCTTATTTTAGAAAGTTCTTACTCTAAGCCCCTTGCACTAGACCTCAGTCGAGAACAATAAACATTGCTTGAAGTAAGATAAACTTTTACTCATTTTTAACAAGCATTTAGTCTTCAATATACATACCAACAGTGTGAATAGGTTTCCTATAGGGCATTAGGCCAAAACTGTATTGAAAGATTCCTCTGGCGTGGAACAGTGGCAAAGCAAACCCCATGATCTTCTGCAGTTTTTCCTGCACCATACGAAGCCACGAGCCTTCAGGGTTGCTAACTTGTTTAAATAGTTCATTTTCACCAAAAGAAAACACGGGGACCAAATCAGCACTGCAAAACACAAAGGGGAAGAATAAGAATTTTCAATGAAAAAGATTTAAATATTTTACTCTATCTAGCTGAGTTTTGCAACAAATTTCTAACAATTCTGTGATGTCCCCAAGCCTCCCTTATCCTGCTAACCTCTTGTTCCGCACATCGAAACTGACATACTTGAAATTCTTTGGGGAGGTACTTCAACAATCTAGCAATTTGTGGAATTTTATTCTCTAGAAAATCAAAGTTCCAGGGAGCTCCTTTTTCATCTCACGGTGCCTTTGTTCACGTGACTGGAAATTGTGTACGTTTTTTGTTTGCTTTGCTTCTAAAGACAAGTGTCATAGCTGGATGCCATGGTGACCTTAGCGGAAAGGTCGTATTCCATCCCCTGTGCATATCCACACCTGCTTTTATGGTAAGGTCAATTAGGAGGCGGTCTGCCTTTAAGGGCCAGACAAATGACTTTGCTTCTCTGTGCTCATTCAGTAATGTCTGAATTTCCTTGACCCAGGCACCTGAAATGAAGTCACTTACCCATGGGTCAAAGCAATTTTCACAAATCCTTTCCGCTTGCGGATGAACAGAGTGAATTTTCCAGGATGGGCATCTAACGACTCCTCTGCACCCCCAAGGACAATGATGGAAATGTTTCCACCTCCCTCTTTGCTCAGCACATGGCACAGACTTTTCTTGGAAACTGAGACTGGCCCTTAGTGAACAAAACCAAAGGTGTAACTACATATCCTTTTTTAAAAATGAAAACATGTTTATCATAATATTCCATGGCATCAGTGGACACCTAACAACATTTCCTACACTGCTTACATTTGGAGTGCTTTTGCAGGTTTATAATTCTTTTCGCAGCAAATCTTTAGCAATATATATCCCATTAATGCGATCTAACATTTTGGCAGGTGATGGGTTAGGCCTTTAAAATGTCATCAGGTTATCATTAGGTCTACTGCTTGTTTGGGTGGATTGTGCACTGCTCAATTTTACAGACTCCGTCCATATTGCATTCTCAGTAAAAGGTGCCCCCTGGAGTTGTTCAGCGCACAACCTGCATAGCTGTATGTGACAATTTTGGTCCTTGTCCTGGCAGATCTTTGCTTAGAACTGAAAAGTAGATCCTCTAAGAGGTTGCAGTGGATCTTCCGAACACACAGTGTTTTCAGATATTCTATAAGGATTCTTTTTTTCCAAACTCGGACTTATAATGTAAATAGTTTCCCAAAAATCAGACATTTGACAAATAACCTCAATCACTTGCTAGATCGCTACATGTTTCCAAAATGCCTAGTCTGACTTTAGTAAAGCATTTAAGAAAGTTACATAACTGTTCAGTCTTCATATCAGGCTTTCTCATGTAAAAATAACTTCAAAGATTCTTTTTCAGATTTTAACCATACTATGTACTCTTAGACGAGAAAAAACTCTAAACTCTTGGAGGAAAAGATAAAGATGAAAACACAAACCATTCAAGACCCATGTTCCAGAGATAATTGCTTTTTAATGTCTTATTGTTTCCTTCCATTCTTGGTCTTATCTTTTTCTTTTTTTTTCTTTTTTTTTTTTTTTGGTCATAAAAGGAACGTGTTAGGCTCTTTAAAGACACAGCAAACCTCATCTCTGGAAGAAAGTTATGTGCTCATTGTACTGTGGGTTCCTATTACTGGGGGAAAGAAAAATTATCACAGCATTCTGAAAGACCAACTACTCTTTTAAGAGGCAGGGGTGGTGGGTTAGAGGGTTGGGAATCTGAGCCCAGGTGGGCTTGAACTTTCACTGAGTTCAAGGCGTGGCCCTTTTTCTCTGCATGCCCTGAGTGAGAGCTGGAGGGATTACTTCCACTGGAGAGAGGGCCTCTTGGATTCCCTGACACTTGGCTCTCCTAGTCTGCCTCTGGCACTTCTCCGTTTACTCTTTAGTCTCCCTTCCTTCAGGCCATCCGAAAATGCTGCTATTTTTAGGGCTCTCTCAGAGACTGCATGTCTGTGTCCCTCCGGATTTCATATGCTGAAATCCTAACCCCCAATAGGGTGGTCTTAGGAGGTGGGGCCTTTGGGAGTTAATTAGGTCGTAAGAGTGGGGCCCTCATGCAAGGATTAGTGTTCTTAAAAGAAGAGGAAGAGAGCTTTCACACACGCTCTCTCAGCCTCTTTCTACCATGTGAGAATACAACGAGAAGACAGCTGTCTGCCAACCAGGAAGCAAGCCCTCACTAGACATCTGCCAGTGTCTTCATCTTGGACTTCCCAGCCTCCAGAACTGTGAGAAATAAATTTACGCTGTTTAAGTCACCGAGTCTGTGGTATTCTCTTACAGCAGCCCAAACTGACTAAGCCAGGCCCCTTCATTGCCTCTCATGTCTTCTAACCTTATTTACGTACATGGATTCACCTACCACTTACATATGCTGAGTGCTCCCAGATCTATCTCCTGGAAGGGCTTCCTCCTGAAGCTCCAAGCCCAGACTTCCAATAGCTCAATGGACATCTCTGCCTTGACAGCTCAAAGACACCTCAAACTTCATGTTTTCAAACCCAACGCATTAAATTCTTCCTCAAAGTTCTTCCTCTTGCAACATTACCTACCAAGGAGAATGAAGCCATCCCCTATTCAGTCACTCAAATCAGAAACCACGTCCCATATGTAGTCCCCTCTTCTCAGCCACCAGGTTGACTCATCATTTATTCATTCAAAAGCATTTACTGAGCACGTGTTATAGGCAAGACACTCTGCTAAATGCTGAGGATTACAATATACAGTTGCAGCCTTCACGAGGCTGAAACAATCACTAAGTCTTGCTGAATCTGTTTATGATCTATTTTGCATATCAACCCCCTCTTCTGTATGTCACTGTGCTAGCTCAGCCCTTATCACCTCTCCCTTGGTCACTGCAATAGGCCCCTTCCACCATCACCTTCTCCAAGCTCACCTCCCTTCAATGTATCTCCAAGCTGCTGCCTGAATGATCCTTCTAACATGCAAAATCCAACCAGGCTCCTCTTCTGCTCAAAATCCCTCACAGGTTCCCATGCCTTCCCTACCAGATAAAATCTAAAGTCCTCTGCATGGTATATAAAGCTGCTGTGATCTACCTGCACAGACTTAATGGAGAGAGGGAAGGGGACAACAGCCTTGAACCACAGAGTGTGCTCTGGCTGACACCATTTTGGCAGATTCACCAAAATGGGCCAAGAGGAACGGTTTGGAGGTGGGACTTACAAGGACTTAGAGCCACAGAAATCTCTTGGGTAAGAGCAAAACAGATATCTGATGATTGCAAGGAACCTCTGAAAGCCTACTGATTCCTTACTAAATGAGGTCTGGTGCCCATGTCTGTCTGTCTTTCACACCTAGAGTGGCAGCCAGTGAGGCAGGCAAAGAGTAGAAGGGAAGCCTCAGACCAGGGACTGTCCTAGGAAGCGGGTTCTGGGAGGGACTGAGAACTCAACTTAGAGACAAGGAAAGCCTACATCTCCCCTGGCTACACGTTTGGATGTTTTTATTTAGTCTTTAGGACATCTAAGGTTATATAGCAAAGGAAAAGATCTCATGATGTCATTAGCCAGTGATAGCAGACAGGTTTCACCTCCAACACCCACACTAGTAAATGGCAGTGGCTGTGGGGGCACTATATGGAGAGGAACTCAAGGTTGATTATTTGTATCTGACATGGCCATGGGGAGGGTGTACCTACATCTCATGCCATGAATTTGCAACACCTGCTCTCAATTACACCACTCAAACTCACCTATGGCTAAACTTTAAATCAGCAAACTATATACTGTAAATATATTTCTGTGTTTTTTGAATTAAAAAAAAAATTTAAGTTTCCCTTTAATTTTCTTCCTTTTATAAAACCCGAATCCAATGTCTGCAAAACGAGGGTGAGAAGGAATATTTTTCCTCTACAGTGGTTTGGGGGTTTTAGTGCACCACCTGGAGGCCAGACTCAGCGGCAGCCCGGACTGCACCTACAGCCCAGAGGAGAAGGTCTGTAAACAGAACCTAACAACACAGCCACGGACCCTGGTCTTTTAGTGTTCGGCGATTTCCTACCAGGTGTTAAGGACAACAGAGACTTCAGAAATGAATAGGAAATCATGAAAATCTGGGAGTCCCTGGAAAATTCTGTCTCTGAATATGCCGTTTATTGATCCTGAAATTGGAAGTTTTCAAAAAGAGGCTATCGACTTTCCTTCATAGCCAAGACATGCAAAGACAATAATAATTAACCCACACAATGACCATAAACATAACGCACTCTGTAAGTTCCTACAGCTCAGGGTTAGTCAATAAGTTGGTCGAGTGGGAAAACCGAACAAAGTGAGCCGCTGACTTTGAAGGGAGTGCTAGGGACACCGCTTAGCTTCTGCACACTTTCAAACAGCATCTCTACAGCATGGCAGCTGAATTTTATTCTCAGAATTATGGTTTCACTAATCAGAGAGTCTTCCACTAATTCAGAGGAGCAAAGTAGAATGGACTCTTATTTCTAAGCCAAGTTATATTTAATCTGGGGAGAAAAAGATAGCAGATTGAGTATGCTTAGTTTATATAGTGCCATTACTTCAAGACACCTTGGAGGATATTTTTCATCTCATATTCATAAAGGCACAGAAAGCGACCTTCCAAAGGTGCAGTTGATCACTTATTTGATCCATGATTCACACAAAATACATTCATCAATTTATTATTGTATTAAGAAGGGAAAAAAGCAGAAAAAAGGGGGAAAGAAAAAAATTCATTTAATCATCACAACTTATCTTTAAGGGTTATTATTCCCATTTTAGAGATGAGGAAGGAGTTATGAAAATTTCCATGACTCACATTCACAAAGATTTTTTTAGGGGGTGCTTTATGATTTACATATTTATTTCTAATGTCCTTTATGCTATTACAGAGATTAAATGGAGTTAAATAAAAAAATAATGAATCCAAAGAAACACATTTTAAAGAAAATTATGCAAAAAACAATGTATTGTTTCATTACATTGACATCTATTGAACATTCTTATATTCCAGGCACTATGCTAGATACTTGCGTGGAACAGTGTCTTCCTGGCACTTACAGTGCAGTGGGGGAGGCAAGAAACATCCAAACGGCATATAAAGTGCCAGGCAGGAATAAAGGTGCTAAGAAACTATAAAGGCGACTGGGTTTAGGGGGCGACATTCTGTGTGGGTCTGCCACCCTAGAACATTGTAGAAGCAGTGGTCTGCCTTCACTTACCACTGCTCATCAGGTATTCTCGGAAGAGAGGACACCGGAACCAAATGGGGAGCACGTGCAGGTACGCAGTAAAGCCGGGAAACAGCTTCGAGAAGTTCGAATAATTGGTACAAAAATTTCCGAAGGCTCCAGCCACGAACACTCCGTGGGGGTGAAACCCAAATATGTAGTTGTGACTTGGATCCAAATCCCCCGTTTTGATGAGCTACAACGCATTTATATTGAGATTAAAAAAAAAATGTTCCCTGATTAAGTTTCCAATAAGAAATAAAAGGGCTTGTGATTAGTTCTTATGCCAAAAGGAAATGGAGAATATGGAGAATATGACTTGTTTTCTTCCCCTGGGTTAGAGCTCTTCCCCCAATTTTGATCTATTTCCTGAGCCCAGAGCCCCTCACCATAGCCTTCTACATTTGCTCTTAGCTTAGAGTCCATTTAGTAACTTGGGCTGAATTGTAAGCTTTCTCCTTCTAAAGGGGGAAAAGCTTGGAATATATGTAATGAAAATTTTTCATCCTTCTCCCAGCTCAAAATCATACGAAATAAAACAAGTCTACTCACATGAATTGGAAAATAGTCGTTAAAGTACCTCCAAACGGTCCAGCTTCTGACCCAGTTGGATCTCCTGCCTCCTTCCTCTGGGGTACGCCAGTCAAAGTAAAGCCATGTCAAATAAGGGATGTAGAGGAACCAGTAGTTGTATATGATCAGTATCAGAAGGATCCCAATGCACACCTCCGCTGTAAGAAATGGAGAGAGCTCAGGAATCAGGCTCCGTTAGCGTCTGCTCACTGGACTGTAGGGTCATTGGCTGGTGGGGGGGGGCGGTGGTTAACACATGCAAGGGCTGTTAAACTGAGCCTTCGTTCAAATGGGTAACAAAACAAGATAGCAATGAGATAGGATTATGTAACATTTATTGGATGTTTCCTACATACCTGTATACCAAGTATTGTGTTGTGCTCTCTGCCAAAATATCTTCATTTAATCCTCATACAAATAATATTAATAATAATCCTCATGTAACAGTGGCAATGAAGCAGCCACAGTACTCGTAATGTCCTTTTTATAAAGGAGAAAATAGAGGCTGAGAGGTTAAATGAATCGCCCAAACCACAGAGAATGTAAGTGGTTGACCCATCTAAATTCAAAGTCCATGTCCCCACCCTGCCTCCCTAATGTGAGATATGGGGGAATTGTCACCGATAAGAGGGTGCAGGGGTTCCTGCCACAGGTGTTCCCCTTGACTGAGCAGCTGTTTTTCAAGCGCCCACAGACGGTACATTCTGGTGACAAATTTCAGAAACTCTATTGCCTGAGAGAGAAATAGCTTTGGAGAAACTCTCCATCTTAGCCTATCTATCACTACTTGCAACATTTTACGACAGAGCAAAATCCAAATTGTTCGTGCTCCTTATGACATAGCTTTAAGATCTATGAAGCAAGAACTGGCAAAACTTGACCTGGGTGGTAATGACAAGAATTTAAGCTATGCTAGACATGTTCTTTTTATGTCTGTGCTATGTATTACATGAAAAGATATTTATAAAAAGAGAAATACATCAATGAGAGGGGAGGAAGCATAAAGACATAAAGCTTGGCACATAGTACGTGCTCAATAAATGCCAGCTGTTACTGTTACTTTAAGGAGTGCCATTGCCACTCATCTGCAATGATGTGCTGTAGTCGCTTATCTAGTGCTGACTTCATTTCCCCGCACTCCTATCCACTCCCTATCAACTTTGTTAGAAAGAGCTTTGTTCCACACAATCCATCATAGTATCTGAGTAACAGCATCTTCATGTATTATTGTTTTATAGAGATACATGTAGATTTTTTTTCCAAAACCAGAACATGTGTGCATGTGTGTGTGTGTGTATATATATGTATATATATATATACACACACGCACACAGAGGGTGCCAAAAACATGTATACACATTTTTAAGAAAGGAAAAAACTGTACTGAAATTATGTTGATGGTAACCACTTAGAGCACCTCTTATAATTAATTGCAAAAGCCAAGCGTGACTTGTATTCATCTTTTGTTATCAGTATTGGTTGAGTATTACAATTTTAATACACTTTTCCTTTCTTAAAATGTGTATACATTTTTTTGGCACCCTCTGTATATATTTTTTTCTTGAAATATATAAATCAATAAATTTCCCAGTACAGATTTAACCGAAATATAGACTTGAAGCCCATCAGAGGACTGACTGCCTTGCTCTCCCTAGGGTGAGTTACAGATCAAAAGAATGCATGAAAGGAGAAGGAAGCACTGCCCTGCACTCTCTGTGGTTTGTTGCATTGCATTCTTGAACTGCCAACAGAGTTTAAGTGAGTCCAGAAGCAAGGCCAAAGGAGTGCCCTCTGCCCTCATGCCTACCAGGATCATTCCATTTTGCTTCACCTACTTCCCTCTACCCAGATCTGAGTGCTGACAACTTACCACTGTTGGTTAATTTTATTTTACTAAGATGTGCCAAAAAATTACAAGAAAGTTAGGCAGGTCTCATAATTCTGTACTCCGAGCTAGATCAGGAGAGCTAAGACAGAGTAGAGAAGGAGGAGAAGAGTTATTAAGGAGTGACCAGCGCCCACTGGCAACCCTCAAGGTACATACTACTGTCTCCATTTTGCAGTTGTGAAAACTGAGGCTCAGGCAGATTTGAATGTCCAAAGCATCTGAACCTGAATCTGTGTAATCCCTAAACCCATGCACTTTTATTTTGTTTTATTTTTTTACAAAACCAAACTATACCCAGTTAATGGTAATAACACCATAAACTTATAAGTATTTATTGCAAGTACATAAGCAGGCTCATAAGCATAAAGACTTAGGTAAATGATGGGTTCTGATTTTTTTTTTACTATAACGATGGAAAACTAAACCAAATTTATTTAATTTCAACCACAGAGTGAGTCAAGAGCAGACCCAGAAATAAAGTCCACCAGCTACTAATTCAGTGTTTCGCTCACCCAATCACATGCCCTCCAATTGAACATACACTGCATATTTCTTTAACATGCATCATATGTTTTGCATGTCTAATGGTTAAGACACAGATCTGGAATTGGACACCTTATGTTGAAATCTGCCACTGACTAGCTGCCTGACTTGGGGCAAATTCTTTTACTTCTTGAACCTCAATTTCTTTGCCTGTGAAATTGGTTAATAACCACCTTTCTCCAAGCACTGTGGAGGCACAAAACATAGAGATGCTACAGTGCCTGGCACACAGCAAGCACTCGACAAACGGAAGCCATTGTCATAATTATTTTGTTTACTATTATACACTGGGTGAATGCAAAAAGTAGAAGTAGGCAAAATATCACCCATATTCCAGTCACCCAACAAAAACAACCATACTTTTATTTTTGAACATTTGGGCTCCTAACAAATTTTCTCCATCAATGCACTCTTGCATAAAGTTTCCCCACATTTTGATTTGCTTCCACAGGACAATAAGTCGAATACTGGCTAAGGAAGCAGAAACATCTTGTCCCCTGATACACTTTGATACCTTACTATCTAAAGGAGTTGTTCTAATTTAAACTCCCACTCCACGCATTGCATACATTCTTTTATATTTCATATCACAAACAGTACCAAAATAGTTTGCTTAATCCCTTGACCCTAAATTGGATCGAAAGCAGAAAACCCTATAAAAACTAGGTGAATAGATCACTTCTATTTTCTATTTTTATCTCATTAAGCAATCCAAGGTAACACGATTCGTTTAAATTGGAGGTTAAAGGGACAAGGAAGATACAAAGCCGAGTCCAAATGTTGTGCAGTTCTCAAAGCTGATGTTGACTACCTGCTAAAACTGTCTAGAGTCACAAACCAAGTTGCACTGGCTGGAATTTCTGTTGTCTTGACTTGACTTAGGTATATCCTTGGTAAAACACACAGGTCAGCCCCCAACACTAATACTCCCATTGGCTCAACTTTCTCTGCATTGTTAAGGAAGCTGCCTCCCACTATTTTTTATTGGGGTGAAATTCACATAACACAAATTAACTATTTAAAAGAAATCAACCTGGCAGCATTTAGTATATTCATAATGTTGTGCAACAACCACCTCTACCTAGTTCTATGCTTAGATCATTCCAGAATAAAACCCTGTACCCATTAAGAAGTTACTCCCTACTCCACCCCCTACCATCCACATACAGTGTTTGTACATATCTACCTATTATTTTAGGTACTTCATATACATGGAATGATCCAATATGGCACCTTCTGTAGACTTTCACTTAACATCAAGTTTTTGAGGTTCATCCATGTTAGTGGGTTATCAGTACTTCATTCCTTGTTATGGATGCATAATATCCCCATGTACGATGTACCACAATTTATTTATCCATTCACCTGTTGATGCACATTTGGGTTGTTTCCACCTGTTGTCTACTGTGAATAGTGCTGGCATGCCCCACTCACTTTAACAGTACTGAAAGTCAGAAACAAATCAGGCTCAGCTAAAGCGTATGCACCATCATTAAATTCAGCATCACCACTAAAGGGACAAAGTGACATATGCCTCTTGACATGAGCTAATGGAAAATACACCCCTTTACCTTTGTGGTCTTCTTGCCAAAAATGTTGAACCCAACTTGAATCATGAAAACATAACTAGGGCTGGCCACGTGGCTCAGTTGGTTAAGAGTTGGCTTAAGAGCGTGAACTCTGAGCAACAGGGCCACCGGTTCGATTCCCACATGGGCCAGTGATGCTGCACACGAGCTGACCTACCAACAGGTGGCAGGATGGCTCAGCTGGTGAGAGCACGTGCTCCTAACAAGACTGCCTGTTGGATGGTGGCTTTGCCTACCAGCAACTAAGACTGAACTTGGCACCTTGAGCTGAGCTGCCACCCGGATGGCTCAGTGGATAGAGCGTGCACTCTTAACAACAAGGCTGCTGGTTCAATGCCTACATGGGATGGTGGCTATGCCCACCCACAACTAAGATTGTAACATAGCACCCTGAGCTTACAGGCCACGAGCTGCCGATGGGCAGCCAGGTGGTGACTGGCGCTCTCAACAATGAAGATTCAAGAACAACAACTTGGCTGGTCCCCCCGGCCCCAATTCCCCAACATTGTTCCCCTCCCCCAATTTCTCAATTTAAAAAAAACAAAACCATAACTAGACAACTCCAGACTGTGTGACATTCTACAAGATAATTAGCTGGGACTATATTGTAAAAAATCAGTTATAAAAGATTAAAAAACAAATAAAAGGTGTAGGTACTATTCTAGCTTTAAAGGAAAATTTGAAGACAACTAGGGAAATTTGAATATGAAACATATATTAAATAAGATTATTGTATCATTGATAAATTTCTTGGGGATGATAATGGGATTATGATTATGTCTTCTTTTCTGGAGACACTCTACAGTATTTAGGGATGAAGTGTCATGATGTCTACAACTTAATTTCTTACTTTCAAATGGCTCAATAGCAACAATAACCAAGTGTGTGTGTGTGTGTGTATGTGTGTGTGTGTGTGTGTGGATAGAAAGCAAATGTGACAAAATGCTAAGAGTTGGCGATCAAAGTAAAAAAGAATCTTTCCTAAACTATTCCTTCAACACTTCTATACATTTGAAAATTTCCAAAATTAAAAGATGAGGGAAATGCATGAATCACACACATAACTTATAACAACACATAACAGGTTAAGCACTGCTGCCAGTTGGAACATCACAGAGAGACCCACATTTGCAAGAAA